CAGACTAGTCGTTAGCTCCTTACTACAGTCTAGAGCTGGCTCAGACTAGTCRTTAGCTCCTTACTWCAGTCTAGAGCTGGCTCAGACTAGTCGTTAGCTCCTTACTACAGTCTAGAGCTGGCACAGACTAGTCATTAGCTCCTTACTACAGTCTAGAGCTGGCTCAGATTAGTCATTAGATTCCCAATCTGGTCCTATCTCTGCTCAGACTAGCCATTAGCCCATCAGTCTGGTCTAAACTTTGCTCAAACTAGCCGTTAGCCCATCAATCCAGCCTTAAACATGCTTAAACCAGCCATTAGCATGACAATCTTGTCAGAATTATACTTTATTTGTCCAAAYTGAAGTTGTTCAAAGAGCTRTTTACAACAAGTAAGATAGTTATTGTTCGTAACTTTTTCACTGAACCCAATTTTTCAAAATCCAAAAATTTGCTTTACGGCTTCTTTTGTCAGCACATACTTACCCTTAAATAAAAACAAATCTCAATTCTTTATTTTAAAGCTGACTTATTTATGGTGAGGTTGAAACACTGATTTGCATAACACAAACAACCACAGCACAAAAGCACAAAGCTTACAAGCAAAACACACAGAAAAAAAAATCCATGCAATTCTCTGTTCAGATGTACCCGACCATATTGTCCCAGTTGWGCGTTAAGGTTTCAGCCACTTTAATATTGAATCAGCTCAAATTTYTCAGATTCAATCACACTGACAGGATAGAGACTTTCTGTTCTCTCTGTTGCTCTACCATGTAGCTTTCACATTTCATTACATTAACCATGCCATCAACATCAAAAGAAAAAAAAAATCAAAAATCTGATTCAAACTAACTCCGACAAGGCCATACAGCTTGTTAAAAGTGTCAAGCTTTCAGTCTGGCCTCTTGAAAACTTGACAAGAAACATGTCTGACCTTTTGGAAAGTGGAACGGCAGGATCAAAGTGAATTGCAAAAGAGTAATAATAAACTTTATTTAAAAAATCTGACACTCTMATAGGGTTACAAATCTATTTATACTGATGTGACTTAAAATATTGAGGTCAATATGAGTGTAAACTGTAGCTTGACATCAAGGCCGTTGACTGTAAGAACTATTAAATGACTTTAATCTTTTTTAAGATAAGAAGAAGAATGGTAGCTGATTCTGTAATGGTTTGGGGGCCAAATTGATCAACGTTGTTTTTCTTATCGCTTTGTCAGCATCGAGGTGAAGAGAAAGTAAAGCCAAAGTGAATTACATTTGATAAGCAATGTTTAGTTTGACTCCCATACTTGTCTCTCTGTAGGGCTCTTTATGGGACAGCATGAGGAGAAGGAAAGAAGAGAACACAATAAGCAAAACAGGTAAAAAATAGTAAAAGTGCACAAACAGTAATGCTGACGACTCATCGGGAAAAGGCTTCACCAGGCAGAAACGTCTCTCAACAAATACATATAAAAGATGTTTTGTCTGCCGAATCCTCGGGGGTAAAAACGTGGCAAAGGTCCTTGAGCGTCAAAACGTATCAATAAATCTTTTGTAGCATTAGCATTTTCATTCCTCCAGATATTTCTTTTCCATCTGCGACGGGGTTGGTGAATTATAGCCCTCCATCAGAAGCTCCGATGCAAGTGCTTGTGTTGCATACATAAATTATCCACTGATCAAAGCTCACTGCGAGTTTTTATCTCAGTTTTACACGACTTTCCCAGTTTTACAGACTTACAAAAGTTATGGCAATTTCTATATTCACTGCTGAGAGGCTGGAATAAAATAATAACAGCTATGCAGGGTTGAAAAAGGAAGCGTTGCATTTGTAAGAGTCAGACAAAAAGTGCTTGTAGAGATGATGTAATAAATGTTTTTCATTTTTATTGATTGATTTGAAACATTCTTGTTCCTGTGTGGGAGAATTATACAACTTCAATGGATTTTAAAAACAAGAATCAGAATGTAAAGCAAAGAAAACCGTACAAACTGTCAAGCACTAGGGAGCCATTTTTTTTTGCAATGGTACTGCTGTGTTTGGTAGACTAATGAAGGGTTACCTCTAAATCTTTCACCTACATCTCAAATTAAATGCTGCATGATTGAAATTTGGACACAAACAATCTCACATAGCAAAATTTGTTTGGCTCAGTTCTGGCCCACTCAGTGGACTAAACATTAACAATCAGCCCTAAAAACACAACGTGTTTTTAGTGGCCCAAATGTGGTTTACCTGAGGTGGTACATACACGGGCCAGCAGCACATAAACCAAACTACAACTGGGCCAGTTGTGGCTTTGACAGATGTGGGCAATATTGGTGAAACTACAACCTGGCCAGTTTTGGCATTGACATACAGTATTTGGGCCAAATAAAACAAACTACAGCCAAGTAAGCTGTGACATTGACATTGGGCCACATGAACCAAATCATAAGTGGGCCAGTTGTGTAATTGTCAGATGTGGGCCATATAAGTGAAACTACAACCTGGTCAGTTGTGGCTTTGACAGATTTGGGTCACATAAACCAAATCACATGAGGCCAGTTGTGGCACTGACAGATGTGGGCCATATAAGTGAAACTACAACCTGGTCAGTTGTGGCTTTGACAGATTTGGGCMAAATAAACCAAACTACAGCCAAGTAAGTTGTGACATTGACAGATTTGGGTCACATAAACCAAATCACATGAGGCCAGTTGTGGCACTGACAGATGTGGGCCATATAAGTGATACTACCACCTGGCCAGTTGTGACAATGACAGATTTGGGCCACAAAAAAACCCCACAGTGGTGCCAGTTGTGGCATGCCATATAGATATCATTTTAGACTTGTGTGGATTAGAAAAAAATGCTTAGTGAAGTCAAATGTGTGCTCCAAATTCTTGTTTTTAAAAGTCTTTGAAGTTTGTTGTACATTCTACCAAAAATAAAAAAAATAGTTTTTAAATAAATATTAAAACATGGGAAAGTAATAACATTTATGACTGTGCAAATAATCGTTGTTCGTTTTGCTCATTTCTGACCGCGACTGTAAATTTAAAATACGACAGAACCCTGGTCCTCCTGCTGTTTCAATAGGTTTGTAACACGATTACAGTTTCTGAAATGAAAAAAAAAAAAGACAGCAGACATGGCAACACAAGCTTCACTGACAACATTAGAGCACATTTAAAATAAATGACTGGTGATGTATCTGGCTCTCTGCGGGGCACCCCATCTCCACTTCAAAGGCTTTCCTCATTTTCCATTTTGTCTTAGCCAAACAAGAGGGAGCGAGGAAAACTTATGTAACCAGATGACATCATTTAACCAAAAGCCAAGATACACCACCAACAAATAAAAAAGTAACAGCAAAAAAAAAAAAAACCAATAATAAACAAACAAACAAAACCTGTAGGATTTTTGTGATTTAGCTTCATACATTAATACATTTAGAGCAGTGTTTTGTTGTTTTTAATTTTGGGTAAAAAAATTACATTTATTTATCCAGGTTAGGAACCGGGACAACTTAAGAAAATAATAAAACTAAAAAAAAAAAACAAAAAAACAAAACAAAACAAAACACTGCTCTGGCCATAATGTTAGGGAATGAAAAGAAGCCAGCACACCTTGAGTGTTGTACATGCCCAGAGGGTTGTTATAAACTGCCGACTCCCCAAGCAATGTGTTATAAGGATTGTTAGTGCCATGAGGACGGAGGAGTGCATTAGGTATAAGATGGTTAGCCATGGCCCCTGCAGCAGCCAAAGTAAGACAGAAAGAGACAGAAAGAGATAGACATGTTGAGATAAATACATAAAGAGAAAACATACATATTTGCAGATGCAACTGAGCAATGACAGCCGTTAACATCCAAATGATCATTATTATGGAAGAGCAGTGGCTAATGGGTTCGATGAAAATTGTGTTCATTGTATGGCTTATGCTAACCATCGAGGCTGAGTTTACTTAAACTATTTAATAAAAAGTGTGAACACAATAGACCATTTTGTAGTTTTCTGTGCAATTGGCATTGTGGGTAAGGGTCGGCGTTTATTTGGTAAGAACAGACTTGGATCTCTATTAAATTTGACAGACGCGACTGCATTTTTTTAAAAATTATTTGATGTGGGTTTTTTTTGTGAATTCTCACACTAGCTGAGGTAAAATGTTGTAGTCAATTCATGGAAGGTTTTTATTTGTAAGCAGGCATTTAGCTATAGGGATATCAGAGCATTGTAACAACGCACTGCTTGGTTTTCATTGCCTAAAAGTGTATTTTTTTACACTATGCAAATTTCGTAAACTTCATGAGCGGCATGAGGGTGACCGCAGTTATTTTATGAAGCCAGGGAAAGATGGACACAGAATAAATTGTGATGGCTTGGATAGAGGAGGCAGGTAGTGATGTTTCATCTTCAGTAGCTGCTGTTTTGCTTTCACAATTTTTGCTCCTGGTCCGTCCGTAACTTTACGTAAATTTCGTAAACTCCGTAAACAGCATGAGGGTGACCGCAGTTATTTTCTGAAGCCAGAGGAAGACATATACAGAATAAATTTTACTGGCTTGGATGGAGGAGGTGGGTAGTGATGTTTCAGCTTCAGTAGCTGTTGTGCTGTTTTTACAATCTTTGCTCCTGGTCCATCCGTAACTTTACTATATATTGTAAACTTCGCAAACAGCATGAGAGTGACCACAGTTATTTTATGAAGCCAGGGAAAGATGGACACAGAATAAATTGTGATGGCTTGGATAATAGAGGTGGGTGGTGATGTTTCAGCTTCAGTAGCTGTTGTGTTGTTTTTACAATCTTTGTTCCTGGTCCATCCGTAACTTTACGTAAATTTTGTAAACTTCGTAAGCAGCATGACGGTGACCGCAGTTATTTTATGAAGCCAGAKGAAGACACATAGAGAATAAATTTTACTGGCATGGATAGAGGAGGTGGGCAGCGATGTTACAGCTTCTGTAGCTGTGGTGTTGTTCTCAAAATGTCCCATCCAGGTCCATCTGTAAATTAATTTCATAAAATTCTGCAAATCTTCATGTGCGGCATTGGGGTGACCAGAGTTATTTTTACAAAGCCAAAGGAAGTTTTTTTAATAATAGTAGCTGCATTTCTGTTTACATTGTGTGATACATTTTAAATGCAGGAACATTTCACAACTTTTCAYAAAGTTAATATGAAACCAGGCTGATCCTAGACAATAATTATTCATGACATGAAGTAAGATGCTGCTGTTTTAGGTCCTCTTACATCTAACAGCAGGTAAAATGTGTTGTGACAGACTTGTCTTCTACACATTTAGATGTATTTGTCTCTAACTGTATGTTCAAAATAAACCCTGTGGGTTTATCCTCATCAACAAAAAGCTTTGTAGGCAAAGCGACAGCGCCGGTCAGCTGCACCACGATTATTTTTATTGCTTCTGGCACTGCCAATCTCCGCAGCTGAAATGGTGTGATACTTCCTTTTCTCCACAGAGCAAAGATCAGCGTCTGCTCATTCTCTTTGCACTGTTGCTGGAATAACCTTTGAATGAAGCCATGTCCTCTCTTTAGTCAAGCCRGTCATTACTTTCGCTTCAGCCTCCCCTCCTCCCCACGTCGCACAAACAGAACAAAGGGGCTCATCTTCTATTTATGCAAGGCCCGCTCGGATCCAGGATCTCTCGCCGGCGGGCTCTCGCCCCGGATGACTCATCGGTTTCCCGCGCACACACCAGAAGCCAAAACCTTCACAGTCTGAGCCTGCTGATTAGCCGCGGATTTGAGAGGCTACAGGCTTTAAAACATGAATGAAAGATGTTTGTTTTTCTTTGCAGATGATAAATATAATTTGTTTCCAAGCGCTCTAACGCATTAAGCAGAAGTCGGGTGAAAATATTTGTGAGCTGCGTTCATTTCCTGTTGACAACATTCCTCCCCCATCAACATGGTATGACGTTATTATTCTCACACAGCAGCCGTGTGCTGTTCGTGCTAAAAACAGTAAACATCTTTTATCTGAGGTGCAAAAAGTAGACAGCAGTAAAATCCTCTGTCAGAGAGCGCCRAAACTGTCACCTTCAAAAGTCACTTTAGTACACTTCTTGAAAGGCTTTTAATTGCAAGAATTTGTTTTTATTTTTGTTGACGCTCCTCAATGCGCTCCAGCTCCAGTTTGGTCTCACTTTTTAGTCATTTTATTTGTTGTTTCTTTGAGTTTAGAATTAATTAGACACATTATTTTTTTTCAAACGTAATGTTTTGATTGTCAAAGGAAAAAATAATAATAAACCGTAGTAATTTGTTGCTGCTGTTTGCTTTAAATACAGTGCATTTAATCAACAACCAGCGCCGTATTTTCTTGAATTCTTCCAATGACCGGATCCCATAACACCTATTGTGTTTGTGCTAAAATGGACCAGGTTCACACCTGCATAAAAAAATGAAAAAAATAAAATAAAATAAAATATAAATAAATAAATAAAACAAAATACACTGATTGTGCAGATATGATCCTGAATGCTTGAATAAATTGGAAATGCAACAACATAAGGACGACTGCGCTTTTCAAGAAGCATCAGCTGCTCATCCTCTCATATTCCAAGTGGTGGATGGGGTGGGGGGTGACGTAAAGGACAAATCAGCAAGAAATATTTTKCTCCTCAGCACCTCATTCCTTAAAAACCACACAAGAAAAAGCCAAGAATGGGAGCACTTCCATTTGCATCTGGTCCTGGAAGCTTGTGATGGCGGAGCTCCTTTCAGTGTTTTCTAYGAGACTTTCTCTGTTAAGTAGTCAGGAGGTATAAAATGTGCATGAATAATTTCTATCACTGCCTTCTGCCTTTATGGAACATCCATGTAAGGTTTTTCCTCAACTCCTGACCTCCAGCCCCCCCCCATCCCTCATGTCACCGCTCTCGTCTCAGCTGATAAAAGCAGCGTCTGTTGGTGGTGCTGAGCTGTGCGCCTAATTACAGAGATCATGACACTTCCTCGCTGTGTCGAACATTAATCCATCATTGTAACTATGCATTAGCGTCTTCGCAAAGCAGGGCGCCCGGAGTGAATTTAGAGCGCGAGTCGAGTGGATGCTGGAGCTCTCAATCAGGAGATGTGACGACTGCAGGAGGGGAACCATGCCAGCGAGCACGGCAAGCCGGGCGTCTGTTTTCTGTACAAGTGGAGAAGGCGCAAACACATTCCACTAAAACACTCTTTTTTAAAAAGAAAAAGCAAAAGAAATACTTTTGTCTCGTTACCCAATTTTTTTCAAGGGTTTTTTTGGCATGTTGTATGGCACGATATTTACAATATTTACTGCCTGACCATAAAAAAGTAAAAAAGTACTGCTTTTTAACCCTCCGTGATCAAGAGTGAGCAGCTGCTACTTCCTTTAACAACCACCTGCTGAGTTCTAGATATGATTTGCTAAATTTAGTCCCGTTAAAGATAATAAAAACCCAACACAAGTCTGTACAGCATGTAAAAATGCCACAGATGTTATTTTTGGAGTGACTAGAAAAAGCTCAAAGCAATGTAGAAATGTCCACAAACATATTTGATCCTCTCTTTAAACCTTTGTGTTGTTGTTAGAACATCAATCTTATCGTCTTTKTTCTTGGTTACTAAAGGGGCACAATTGTAGTTAACGTATTTATACGTTTACTTTTTATTAGCATGATTGTTTTCACAACTTGTCCAAGACACATCAAAGAGACTTTGAGTTTTATCCAATCCTTATCTTAGCTTAATGCTAAAGTTTATTTGATGTTTGCAACTAGGTTTAGACATCTGCAAGGTTTTAACTCTCAGATCAGTTTTAGTCTAGATCTCAATTCAGCCCAGATAAGGGTCATGTTTGTGTTTTAAGATTCATTTTGTGGGTCAAAAACAACTATCTTACTACCTTTCTGAAATAATTAAATATTGGTCTTCACCCAAAAAACCTAAACTCTTAAGGAGGTAGATTCAAATATTCTAAATTTGGCAGTAACGGCCCCACGCTTGATAATTTCTTCACACGGGATGACTAAGAAACCAGCCATGACACGGAGGGTATTTACAGGACCTTGGCAAAGTTCTCAGGCTTGGATGAAAAACACTGTTGGCTTACGATTGTTTGGAGCAGCAGAGGTCTTCAACCCTGTTGCCCATGACCGACTGCCCTGCATCTCTGCTTCAACACACCTGACTGAAATGAATGAGTGATTGACACTATTTGAATCAGGTGTGCCAAAGCAAAGAAACAGCTAAGCCATGCAAGACAGTGGGTCACAAAGAATAGGGGTTAGAGCATTCATGAACGTTTGGTTGTGGTGGTTTATCACCTTGGAAGCAGCGTATTGGAGTCCTGGGTAGACTGTGGTGAAAGCGTACCAATGGSATGGAGTCCTCATGCAATGCTATGGCTTAAGTCTTGGTTATATTTGCGCAGGGCTCAGCTGAAGCAGTATAGGTGTTCATATTTCACGCTTATGTTTGTGTAGTAGTCTCCAAAAGGGCATGTGGCAGTGCAATTTATAACTCGTGAAATGCTGTAAAAAGGAGAACAAACGCTTGATGGACAAAGCATTTGAATGGAGCGCGGCCACCACAGCCCATGTGGAGTTACAAAAATTTGGAGGCCCACGACCGGGTGCCACAACACCTCATAGGGCAGGACCGGCATGACTGCATCACTGTTGGTGCGAACCCTCATGCCGTATTCAGTGCGCCACCTATAAACCTAGCTTTTGCCATCAAACATTTGAAGCAGGCCTGGTCACGCTGACCTCAGGCCTCGGCTATCACCGTGGTACCCGTGGTGGTAGCATTGTGCTAACATGGGATAATCTTCTAGTGCGTAGCTGCTTCCTGATACATTCTGATGGAATCGTTCCAGGGCTGGTGGATGGAGCATGTTGAGGGATCTCACTGAAGTGGAAAGTCTAATTACAGAGCAACAAAGCCTGTTTTGTGCTGTGACGTCATACATTAAGAAGAGTATAGCCTGGTATTGGGTTAAACAGCAGTTAGCCTTGAAAGAAACTACTTAGCTATGGTGGATTGAAAAAATAACTTGAGTTCAGCGAGGAATAAAAACGATGAGACGACGGAGAAATAAAGTAACATCTTCTGGTGAGTTCAGGTTTAAACTGGCGCTGATGGAATGATGCAGCCATCATGTCTCGTGTTGAAGCCGGTGAAGGAAGTGACACGGTCGGAGTTCAAGACTACACACGACCCCAACCGCCCCCCACGAATAAGGAGAAATGAAGGAAATCAAAAAGGTCGGCTGACTTTTTCCTTCCTTGATGGCACAGGCATATTCAAAGATGACAATGCCAGGTTTCATCAGGCTCAAACTGCTCAGAGCGGTTCAGGAAGCATGAGTTTATTTTCACACATGGATTGGCAACCAACGAGACCAGACCTTCACCCCGTCAAGGATCATCAGGATGTGAAGAGGAAGACGTTTCACTTACGTCTTGTACTCGTGTCATCAATTCAATAGCAAATTAAAACAACCAGAGATGGAAACAAATATTGTGATAGGTGCAGAAATAAAAGTACCTGGTATTGTGTGCTGTAATAAATGTGACCTGTTTTTTAATTAGGTAGAAAGTTAAAAAAGTTCCTCAGAATACCAGATGTAGTCTCATATTTTCTGCATGAACTGCCAAATTCAAACCGTTTTCTGTTTTTGAACTTTGCTCATGTTCTCTTTCATCCAAAAAAAAGGCAAAATTTTAATGATGGAAACTCTCCAAAATTTGAAATTGCTTTTAAAGTTTGGTAAAAAAATAAAAACCTAATTTTGCCAAAAAGTATAGAAAGGTGAACTGTTGCCAAAACGACCTGTGAGAATTGTGATTTGCCGTGACTCAAAAAGATTTAGAAAAAGTTTTTTGTTTGAAAGCTTGATGTATTAAATTATACGACACTTTGAACCGCGTGTCACATTAAAAGCAACGGCAATTACTGTGTCAATTAAAAGAAAAGCAGACTCTGAATGTTCCCGCCACACGTCAGAGAGTCTGAGGTGCAGGGTGTGTGCGCAACAAGGAGCCGGTAAAGACGGTGTTTCCCTCAGGACCCAGTACCTCTGTTGAGTGACGCCGAGCTGTTGATGTCTCCGGTCATGAAGGAGGACTCAGACTGTTTTCTGACTGTGTCGTTCCACATTCGGCGGATGCGGCTCTGCGAAGACAAACAACATGTCAGAACACATCAGAACGCTCACGCTGAGTGATGTCGCTGATGCAAAATAAAGTCTGCACAAGGAGGACCAMTGACAATAAAATAAAAGTAGACTTCAGCTGAAGTTTATTCATTTTAGAGGAGGATTCTCAAAGTGAAAGGTCTAAAGGAGGCGACGATGTTTTTGAGGCCCTGTCACACTATAACATTTTAGACAACTTATGCCAACATGAATTTGAACCACTGTTGTGAAGACATGCTGAAGTGGGAGTGTCAGAAATAGTAGAAGGTTCTGATTTAAAGGTGTTTAGACTATGATGCAAAGTCCACTTAATTTTTGATACAAACAGTGTTTTCTTAACAACTGGTATTGAAGTGTCGAACTATATGCTTGGAAAACACATAAAACACCCTTTAAATGCCCCAAAATGTTTCTGAATCATGAAACATGTCAGGTTTGGGGATGAATAGCTTCCAATTATAGATGAGCTGTGGTAGTAGGTGAAGTCAATAATGAAGTCATCAGTCAGGCTCCTCTGAATCAGAGTGTTGAGTTGGAAAAGCTCCATTTGAGAGGGTTCATCCTGGTTAATTATGACTGAGTCCCACGGGCCGCTGCACAAGCTCAGGATCTGGAGATCTACCCTCAGAGCAGAATCTTTTTTAAATTTTTTTTTAATCCTGGACCAGACCTTGGTAGAGATTTCCACGTTTGTCCAGATTAATGCATAAAAGGTTGGTGATACTGAGGAACAAAGGTTTCTGTAAGTTTCTTCAATCTTTGTCCCATTTTAACATTATTGTTATCTGTTGTTYTGGTTTTTGCAGCTTCACTGTTTTTTTCTGCTCCCTCATGGGATCTCTGTCTACACGAGATTTACAAGACCCTCCTTCTAGAAATCTTCCTGATCAATGGAGGTCAGCTGCAGCCTTTTAATTAAATGAAGCTTGTAATTTTTCTAYGCGTTATGGCTCCTCTCTGAGCACTATTTATAAAGCAGCGCTGGGATGAAAAATCACACTCTTGATGTTCAATTACGGCATACTGCTTCGATTCATACTGTTCTACATGTTCACGTGGGAGGAATCCATCAACGATTTACGTTACGAGCAGACTTTGGGTCTGAGCTGCTGAGGTTTGAGAAATTTCTCCCAGAAGCTGGAGGCAGTTTTTTTAAGTTGGAGTCTGTGAACCGATGTGCAACCCCAAGACCTTTTCTTGCTGATTCATGAGACGGACACTACAGACAAACAAACATGAGCAAAACCATTTTATGCCCTTTTGCCGTCAGCAGAAGATGATGAAAGATATAAAGGATTACGTACATGTAAAAGCAAAAAAAACTAATGGTTTCAACCTGTGACCCTGAAGAATAACGTCCTGGAGCCCGAGAGACGGTGCCTTTCACCGAGCCGATGGAGCTGTCCACACTTTTCCCACTGCAGCAGTGGGTGCGTAGACACTTCCCGTACTCCTTACGCACCTACAGGAAGTAAGAACCGTATGGCACGTTAACATCTCATCAGACTTCTGATWTATTTAGACTTTTATCATCAYGTTTTCCAGTAAAATCCCSCAAATTTAATGCATTAGACAAACAATTCACCTTCTTCTGCAGCACACAGTGGAAGATGAAGATGAACATCCCCTGCAGGGAGTTGAAGATGGTGAAGAGGTACGCCATGACCACCGTACTCTCGTTGACGTACATCAGACCAAAGGCCCAGGTCAATCCGAGGAGGCACAGTAAGGCAATGGCCCCAATCACCCATGACCTGAAAGACAAACAACATATTTGTATGATGGAACATAACATTAGATCATTTTAAACCTATACACAGTTGAATGAATCTGCTGGTTTAGTTTCTTTCTCAGCCAAACAACAATGATGTTAGTACATGAATGTATGTGCTGAGCCACTTAAATAAAGTGTGTATTMAAGCTGCACGATGTATTGTTTGTGCATTGTCAACGCAATGTATGCWGTAGTCAAACTGCAGGTCCTGGGATGTAGGAGGCAAATTAAATAAACGTGTTATCTAAGGACTAAACCACTAAACCGTGTTATGGGTTAATTGCTTCCGCCRGCAGAAGTGGTCGGCTTTGAGTCAAAAAATAAAAACCTTTAATTTTGTTGTGAAACGTCTGGGACAATAATGGCAATGCTTTTTAGAGGACCGCTGTCAGTGAATTCTTGAGCTGTGGAGGACAACGATAAGGATCTTGATGAAAACCAAGTGGAAAAGAGGTAAAAATGGTTTAGCAGTAATGTAATATTTAGCGTGACGGAAACAGAAACTTTGATAGACACAGAAGCAACACCTTAGGTTTGTTCATTGGTAAAATGAAATTCACATTTGCAGATGATAAAAGGAAACGTACTCAGGTTCTAGCACAATAAAAGCAAGGAATAAAAGATAAGAATAACTCAGACATTGACAAAAACATACTTGTAYAATATGCACAAAAAGAGGTATGATTGGTGAAGGTTTATCATCAACAAGATGGCAGTGTGGCAGCGTACATTGAAGTATTATTTAAGTCATCTGTTGAAAATTCCCTTTTATTTACATCACAGGGTTAGAAAAAAATCCCARCATCAGGTTTTTCCAATAACACGCAACCCTAGTGTATACTGATAAGGCTGAGGCTCCATATAAGTCATTAAGTAGACTCTAAGTAGGGYTCTGTTTTGGGACCTTTGTTGTTCCTGTTTTATATGATACCTCTGTTCGATCATGTCATCTTTTGAGGATATTTCCTATCATTGTTATGCTGATGATATTCAGTTTTACATCTTGTTTTCTCCACATGAAGTAACAAAAGTGTGTCTTTTACTACRTTGTTTGGATTCAATAAAGAGCTGGATGTCTGAGAGTTTTCTTCAGTCCAATGAAGAAAAAACAGGTTACTATAATTGCACCAGATAAAATAATTCCAGCGATAAAGCAGATCCTTGGGCCTATTGGCAGTCTGGCAAAATCTTCAGTAAGAAACCTTGGCGTGATTTTTGATTCTGGTCTTACACTGGATCATCATGTTAAAACTTTGGTTTGTTCCTGTTTCTACCATCTACGAAATATAGCAAAGCTCAGCCCCATTGTATCTCGTTCAGAAATGGAAATTTTACTTCAAGTTTTTGCTTCATCTCATTTAGATTATTGTAATGCATTGTATACATGCCTAACTAAAATCTCTCTTGACCGGTTACAGTCTGTGCAGAATGCAGCTGCCAGGCTCCTGACTAGCTCTTCTAAGTTTTGTCATGTGACTCCACTGTTAATGCAACTTAATTGGCTCCCAGTTCATTATCGCCTGAAATTCAAGATTTTGGTTTTGACTTGGCGAGCTCTGCATGGTCAGACACCACACTACATTTCAGAGATGTAGTGTGGTGTCTGCATGGTCAGACACCACACTACATCTCTGAAATTTTACAAATTTTCACTCCTGTCAGGGCTCTGAGGTTTTGTGATAAAGACATGCTGATTTTTCCTCAGACAAAGCTAAAGACTAAAGGAGACAGAGCTTTTTTGTCTGTGGCTCCAAGGCTTTGGAACTCTCTTCCTTTGAATTTAAGATCARCAGGCTCTGTGGACTCTTTTAAAGCTCAATTAAAAACTTACCTTTTTAAATCTGCATTTGTTTAATTTGCTCTGTCTATTTTTTATTTTATTTTATTTTTGTTTGTGTTTCTTGAAGCACTTTGTGATCCCTATCTTGAAATGTGCTATATAAATAAAGTTTTACTTGCTTGCTTGCTTACTTACTTACTTTTGGGATGACTAGACCAATAGTATTAGACTCTGGCCCTTAGGAACTAATGCAACTATCTTTTACATTGGTATGTACCAGGGATRGGCAATCCTGGTCCTGGAGGCAAATATCCTACATAATTTATTGGTTTCTATGCTTYAACACACTTGAATGCAATGACTGAGTGATTACCAAGCTTTTGCAGAGCTTGAAAAGGGAATTAATCTCTGAATTAKGTGTGTTAGAAGTAAGGATGCCCATCCCTGATATGTAACCTAGTGTCATGATCCCTGTGTTTTTTGATGTTTATGGTTCCTTGTGTTAGTTTTATTGTTGGATTATTTCTTTTGTTTTGCTCATCCATGTCCCTTATGCTATTTCTTGTTCCTCCCTCACCAGTTCTGCATCGCCTTAGCTCATGCTGGATTTCAAACTCTCCATTTCCCTGTGCTCTTCAGCTTTTGTGTTTTGTGAATTTTTGCCGCTAYGTTGGCTAATGTTTTGTTTTAAGGCTCACAAGACTGATGTTTTGGTCACATGTGTGAAGGTGTGAATTARAGTGAAACTGACTGGGTATCAGACTCAGTACTGCACTTGTAAGCTTTGGAAAACTAGAATCTGAGACGTCCTCCTCTRTTTAACGTTGTTTTTTTCTAGTTTGATGTAAACAGCTTCCATTAATCACCYTCTCATAACAAAATAGGGACATTTTTGTCTTCCTCCCCATGTTAACCATCAAATTATAACAGTCTAAGGATGTTCAAGTTATAGATTTGCTATATTTTCTATASAAGAGAATCAGAGTGTACGTCATGTTGGACTCTTCTTGCCAAAGGCTTTTAGATAAGGGTCTTACTGAGGGATTTAACYGAGATAAACGTCCTTGATAATACACAGAGTCTTGATAATGAAGAGTTCTCTCTTTGTATGAGTGCACTGTGTAGACAAGTGGCAGTTTTTTTCCTATCTTTTACCTCTTTTGGCATTTA